TAACGAGTCGCGAGTATCTGCAGGCTTTGATTTTATGAAAACTGGGGTCGCGAAAAAAAAAGTTTGGAAACCGCTGCAAGGGTTATATCAAGCCACGCCAAGTTTGACCCGGCGAAAATTTACGATTGACGTGTTGTAAACATAATCAGACCCCGCAGCTCTTTAACTTATTCCCATGCTGGATAACCAATTTTGGTTTCCCGCAGTTTCGCTTCCCCAGTAAAATCTGTGTTGAGTTTTATTATTCATTTTTCACTGGATGGAAAAAATAAACTTGAATATGACTCCGGTCTATCTGCGCTGTTTACCGCACAGAAAGCAGTGGTTTTCCATTAAGCCATTTGATTAAGGAATGTCTCATCAACATCACGACCACAAAAAACTAGCACCTGCTAAATCTGGAAACACCCCCTCCTCATTGAACACATAAGTAATAGAGGCCGAACAAAAATGTATTATCTTGTAATTTGTGATATTTCAGGCGAAAGCCAATGCCAAACCCGTCGATAGAGGCTTCCTTGTAAAGGGAATGGCGACAAGAGAAACCGCAGCCTATGAAATAACTTTAACATTAGCCGAGATTCTGTGGACACTACTGGCAACCAGCAATATGACTCGAACTAAGGAGAGTTTGAAAATACAACTCCAACTCCCGCTGCAAATCTTTGCTGATTTTCATCTTTGGACTCGGTTTCTCTTTGATGTATATTAAATAGATAGATTGTTTATTAGAACAGGGGTCCGCAACTACGGGGTCGCGACCCAAATTTGGGTCGCGAAGCCCTCCGCTCTGGGTCGCGAAACAATATAAATTTTCCATAAATATGAGCATCGCGTCTGTGCAGCGTATCTAAATATAACAATAAATCTCTGATTATAATTATGAATGTTTCCCCGAGTATACACTTCCTTATTTACTGCTGTAACATTGGCCAATCAGCATGAGTGCAAAATTGAAGTAACAATAAACGTTTACCTCGTTTTGTCGGTTTTCGCGTGTTATTTGTTAGATTTTAGTTGTGTTTTGGTAAATATAAGTCCTAAACTCGCAAAACCATTCTGGAAATAAGTACCAATTATTTTGCAATGGTAGAGTGTAAAGAGGAAGAATTCAAGAGATCAAAAGTCGGGGAAACATTCGTTACTTAGTTGTTCGCATTGTTATATCCTACTACGTAGACTTTGGGTTCTCAAATTGCTTCGTACGGAGCCTCAGGACTCCGTTAAAGACACTTGAAACTTTCCTCGACCCACTGCCCGACCTCCCTATCCTCGACCCACTGCCCTATCTCTCCCAACCTTCCTATCCTCGACCCACTGCCCTATCTCCCCCAACTTTCGCATCCTCGAACCACCGCTTTATCTCCCTCAACCTCTCTCTTCTCGACCTACTACCCTATCTCCCTCAACCTACCTATCTTCGGACCCACTGCCCTATCTGCCACAACTTACCTATCTTTGACCTACGGTGCTGTGCTATACTATTCGGTACCTGACCTAACGGCGCTTTATTCACGACCCGATCGCCACACTGAACTTTACTATCTTGCGACCAACTTCCATGGGTTATACTGGTAGGCCAATGAGTTGATTCAATCGTACGTCGACAAAACATGATTGACAGCATTCGTATATGTAGGCTGGAATCTCAAATAGTAAACAATAACCTTAATTGGCAGTTTAAAAATGTTTTACTAATTGGGCTACTGATGGTCTTTTGTTGGGAATAAGAGTTTTTTAAATTTTAACAAGCCGTTTTATGCCCTTTTATGCCCCTTTATCCGAAATAAGCAATAGTGCTCCGGTCCGTATCAAGTATGTGTATCTCCCTTTTAGAAAACCATGGCTGCTGCGCCCTTAGTTATAGATAAAGTTATATTTGAATCACTACCACATTTCGACACCACCATCGTCAAATTTTATTAGTGACGTTAATGCTTCTTCACAGATACAAAATTAACCAAGTCAGTTTTTTAAGTGAACAAATAGCTCGCGGAGCCCTGAGGCTCCGTACGGAGCACTCATAGCAGTGGGGATCAACGCCCGACAAAAGACTCATCTTCATCGGATAGAAATACATCACTCAAATCATACATACAAGCGGAATAACAGCGAATAATGTATAAAGATTGGTTTCACGTGTATCTTACAGCAAAGCATTCAAAATTCATTAAAAAACCAATACATTTTTTCCCGCCTATTAGCGTTTTCATACATAAAATACAATTACAGATCAAGGCTTGGGTCGCGAGAAGTTAGAAAAATTTTTTTGGGGTCGCGCTAAAAAGTAGTTGCGGACCCCTGTATTAGAATACTCCATAATATACACATATTTGAAATGGAGAATTCTGGAGGGCGAGCAAAACCTTTAAAAAAGTTTGAAACATGGAAAATATTATGTACCAGCCCACCAGCACACACACAAAAAAATATTACATAAAACACAAACCCACCTAAAACAACACTTGGGCCGGGAATAATCAAACAAAAGTACACAAATCAGTCAAATGTATAGGAACTTCCGGGCTGTCATACTTTTGAAACACCTAAGCTATTGCAGTAATAATGACCAATTCAATGGGTACCGTATATGCCAGCAATACGCTGTTAATTAAATGTTTATTTTGCAGCATCGTATTTACTCCTTATCTGTGAAATTTTGTTGATTTTACTGATTTTTTTTATATTAATCCAACTTGAATATATAATTAATTGAACGACAATCACTAGTTTGAGTCGAGGTGAGTCAACCTCGAGGTTAGACGAGTACGAATAACTGGTGAGCTATAATCACACCCGGCATTAATTGGTAACCAAACGAGAGGCCGTGGTTTGTCATATCGTTACGCCGTCTTCCCTCGCTTATTAAAAGTAAAAAAAAAAAAAAAGTATAAGAATAAATGCATTACAGTCATTCGAACGACACTTTACCCGAAATAGCCTCAGTAGCTTCTGGTGCTTTAGTGATCGCCAAGAAATTCGCTCAGAAATCAATCTCCTTTACTTCTGAGTCATTATCGTTAGGACGGTTCATCGGCTTTCCTTTCCCCGTGATAATTTAAAAATTCCTCATTTGCTTATAACGAAGCCAACGAACGAAATTAAAACAATTAACGCATCACGGTCACAAAATTCAACAAAGCACAGGTAATTTCATTAAAATTAGGCTCGTCATCACCATTGGCTCAGTTAGACAGCTCTGTACTAGGTCATCACTACAACAGTCATCAACCATGTCTGATTGAGACTAATCCAAATTATCATTTCCCAAAGCCCGTGAAGATGATTTCCGTTTAAAAGGTATATGAACACGGAAGTCCCACGCGATGCACATAACTGCTAAGCTTGCAAATAGAACAGAGTATAGATAGTTGTGCACCAGGTTATGTTGGATTTGGAAGAGGATTGTCAGAAATTGATTATGGTAGAGACGCCGCTAGCTTCGTAAACGCGGGGAAGGATATAATGGGTCTTCGCAATGATGATAAAATGCCGTGCCCCACTGTTTTGTGTTACTGTTAAATATGTATATTGCGAGACTAATGGTTGCAGTCACAGGTAATTAACTTAAATTAGTGAAGTCCTGGCAAATGATACATAGTGAAGGTGATGATACATAGTGTTCGAGGGGAGCCGCTCAGTAGTCCTATCGCAGACCCAGTTTATGAAACCCTGCTTTAGACTCAAAAGTACCGCTTAGCAAAGCTTGATAATATTGTTTGAATGTTTTGAAAATATGCACTCAGATTTTTTTGTCAAGACCGCTAAGATATTTCAAGACGGCAATCGCGTAGAACAGAGGTGACAAACCTGCGCCTGCCAAGGAGTTTCGTGCGGCCCGCGAAGCATTCAGGCGATTGTGTATATTTTTGGCTTGAAGTCATAGGCCTTTTTTATTGACACCGCTATTTCCAATACATCTTGTTTGGTTGGATAATCGATACCTTTAACAATGGATCAAAATCTAATTTGAGCGGAGGCGTTATTGTACAGTGATACCTAGGTACCTAGGTAGATCAAAACATTCGAGTCAAATTCGAACGGAAATTCGGATCTCGAATACCCGAACCGAGCGGAGCTCTGGGCAGAGTGAGATGACGAGTGTGTGTAGTTGAGTTTCAAAATCGTCAACTCGTCCTAATGAGAAGCGCCTAGTAAAGTAAAAAAGTTTCTAAAAACCTCAAAAGGAAAAAAATGCATTGAATGTTCTATTTTTATTTTATGCTGCAATTTATCATCAAATAGCTTCAACTGTATGGATGCAGTTGTTCGTTTCTGTTGTTGAAAATTAATAGGCATCACAGTATAACTAAAAAGTTGTGCAGTTCGCTCACTCATCGGTGACTGATAAAATGGCCCCCGATAGCAAATGGGTTCGTCACTCCTGGCATAGAAGCATGAATGAATTACCGAGTTAATGGTTCATTGAACCGGATATACCTCCTTCACGAAGACGATTCATTTTTCACAGAAGACGATACAATAATATGACGTCACTATGATACGAGGAAATCATTGTTCCAGCACATTGTAATCAAAATAGCAAGCGCTTGTAACATTAGTTGGTAGGCATGAAAGATAAGACAGGTACAGTAGCTTACGACATAGAGGCAGCAATGGAGGTTCAGGAAAATAAGGTCTCATTTCTTGTTGTTGCTGTTAGAGGGGGGGAGTGGGATCTATTTCAATTTTGAGTACTTGAATACTCTCAGATTTTTTCAGCAAGCTCAATATTGCGTTTCATGTCAATAAATTAGAGCATTGCTCGCTTGTCTGGCTTTAAATCTGTAGTTACTAAAATACATAGAATTTCAGTTCAAACTCCAGAGATTTTGACTCGGGTAATTTTTAACTATGACTTCGACCACAAGTCTCAAACCAGCAATTAAGCCATCAGAAAGATTCTTTCGTAGAGAATTCTTTAAATACCTTCCCTTCATCTACAAATAGTGCACGGCATTGTTAATATTTACATATTTTTTTTTATTTTAGGACTTAGTAATACAACACAAATCCGCGTTAGCGCTAATAGCTCATTACCAGATAGCAGAAATGAAACAAATCATTAACCTGATGTTAATTGGTAAGTTTGTTAAAAAAATGTAAGTCGTCTTTCTTCTACTAATAACAAATTTCACTAGAAAGTTTATAAGAATTGACTTCACCTCCGGCATAAAATCCTTTTGTACTTCCTGCTTACGTCACCCACAATTTCGTAAAACCAACGGTAGAACGTGAGGCTATATAATTAGTAATCATCCAGAATGGGTTAAGGTGACGAGTGCAGATTGCGCTGTAAATTTATAGAGTCAAATCATTTCTAATCCGAACTCTAATTGAATAAGCATAATTTTTTTTTTAAACGTGGCGGTTGTGATTTTCTCAAATCCCACATTTTTGCGTTAGTGACGTGTGCTTTCCAGTGGTGGGATTCAGCCGGTTTGCACTGGTTCTATAGAACCGTCTCACGGAATTTTATGAAATCAGCGAACCGGTTAGCATTATTCAGTTTATCTGCTAAAAAATATGACTTTTTGTAATAGAACCGGCTGTAAAAATATGACTTCTGTGATCCGGCTGACAAAAAATTTGAATTCCACCACTGGTGCTTTCTACAAAATATCCCCAAATTCTTATTAGCAAAAAAAAATTTCAAATGATGAAAAATAGAAAAAATTTATCTAGAACCGGAAGTTGGGGAACATTCATTTCGAAAGTCATCAAGTTTAAAAATGTTGAGAGCGACTCAAGAATTTCAAAATCTGGACCTGATTACAATAGCATTGAAAATGGCAAAGTTAGACTCTTAGCACGGCAGACCCGGTCGCTTTAGGATAGCACGTATTAGAAATAAATAGATATCAGTGACCGCTTGTCCAGATCCAAATAAAACCCAAAATGAACAAAAAAAAACATGTTTTTGGTATTTCTGGACCCCACAAGCATTTTCTGTCCACCGACCTCAGTGTCTCTCATCACCGTATTTTACGGCCCTGCGCGCACCTTCAATGAATTGCTTAGATTGGGTTTTGTCCACCCATAAGGCAAACCAAAGACGCATAGGTTTTTAGGGAGTATCGGGTTACCGTACAAAGCTCATTGAACAAAAAACTCCATATTTTACTAGTTTTAAGTGTGGACAATAAAGCACTACATGTGCACACACTACATGTGACTTATAAGGCCGTTTGAAACATAAATGAATTTAAAGTGCGTCATGTCGTATACAATTTGTTTCCCAGCATTGCTCGCATTTTGTGCGAGTGGAGAATGGAGATATAAGACGTTAAGAGATATGCAAGGGAATATTACATACAACGACTTCAAAACTACTGATCACAATGACTTGAATCCAATTACAGAGTATAGCGACAACCATGTACTTTTTATCCACATTAGAGATGTTTCTATGTATCGATGGAAGGTCGGAAACTTCGGATATAAATGGAAAGAATGTACAGCGGATTTGTACCTGCCAGGTAAAACAGCTCATATTTGGTTTAATATCAACTAGGCGCGTCGGTGTGGCTCGTCGTGCTGAGCGTTGGGAATACACTCGCCGCCGGACCTCTGATTACTCTGCGTGGGTTCGAATCCCATGCGGGGATGTTTATGTGCGAGGGGATTGCTGGATGGTTCATGGCAAGCGGTTTATGGCTTCCTCCACCATCAAGTCCATGCTTCCGAAAACAAATAACTAACTAATCCCATACCCGACATGAAATGGTAACCGGACAAGAGGTCGTGGTTTGCCATATGGTCAAGCCATCTTATCGGCTTTCCTCTCCCTCAGAATAAATATGTAAATTCTATCCTAACTACTCAATTCGCTCAGTTCACATCGTTGCAGTGATTTTATATTGGCACCAAATCTAGACCTACAGTCGTTCAGATGAGGTAAAGTCACTGCAACGGTGTGAAATGGTGCCACTATAAAGGGTGTCTCGAAAATGCCATATGCACATTGTCATCATCATTGTCATATATAAATGTCATCTTTCCCTCTGTCAAATATTCCAGGAAGGCCATCCATCTGTTTGACCCCGGAAGTAAGATGTTTATTCTACCAACCGATTGGATGTAACATAGGAAGTAACTTCGATTTTGTGACGGATTTCAACGGCTTCGAATGCGACAAATACGCGTGGTTTGTTTTACCAAAATTACCAGCGACTCTCAAAATATACAAACGGCGGGAGAGCGAAAAAGTTGTTCAACTTCAGTACAAGTATTTCGAATGCCTGAAAAAAATCTCATCGACAGTGACCGGTAGGCTTGCTATTTTTCTATTTTCATTTTGTTATATCAACGTTTTCCTACCGGGGGGATTTCAATCTCGGATAGTATTTGCTAATATTCCTCAAAATCCTTACTATAATGCTCATATATGGTACTCCCGAAGTATGTGAACCAAGAGGGCGGACACCGGAGAATGTGTATGAAGTACTAGGTTAGGGATAGGCCATAATTTCATTCCAATTTCCCTTATTTTAGTTCTATTATAAGTTCGGGGACTAGCCAATGTACCTGAAATTATGGCCCAGCCCTAACCTGGTACACATACTACGTTTCGGTGTCCGCCATCTTGGTTCACATACTTCGGGACTACCCATTGCTGTACACATAAACTACTTAAATAGTACAAAAGCCCGAATGCGACTCGTGCAAGCCTAGCCAATGATTTATGAACAATCCAACAAATAAGTAGTTTTCATGCATAGGGAGGGAGGAATAAAAAGTTCAAAAATGGGCGAAAGGGATAATTAAACGAAAAAGGTTGGAAACAACCCGCCTCGCCATTCACTCTTGCCCCATAGTCCTCGCTGCATGAGCTGGCCCGACATTAACTATTGCGGGGGAACGAATTGCCCAAAGTGAAGTCTGGGTAAAGATTAAGATAATAATTGAAGATTTTGCAATAGAAAATGAATTCGTCTTTAAACAGAAAATCTGATCTTAAAATTGTTAAACCCATCACTGAATAAAGGTAAGTATATTTTACGACAGACGCATCAACCGTCACAAATCCTGATTCCACGACACTTGACTACGATCACAGCTTGTCGACGAATGAAGAAATTGTGAAGACGGACAGCGGGACAGAGATGTTTCAAGGCAAAATGGAAATGACTGCTGGACTTTCGATCGCCGTTGCTTTACTTGTCGTATCTTGGGTGGTGTTCGGAGTCGTATATATGCGAAACCGGTAAGTATTTTTTAAGTGAGTATCAATCTACCAATAAATTGCACCCAAAACATTGCTGATGGATGTTTCTCCGAACATCGCTTTCTCGTTTATTTCCGTAACAATGACCAGTCAGCAACGTCGTTCATATTGCAATTGGTGCAGCCGCTCAGACAGATATCCAAGCATGATTATAAGCATTGCCTCGTTTTTGTGGGTTTGAGCGGTATTTGTTACTTTACAGTTGTGTTTCCAAAAGATATTTGTGAATTAAAAGTGAAGAGATGCTTTGATACTTTTCTTTCCCAATGCTTTGATACTATCCTGTTATTGCCCACCGCAATTTTGTCCCATTTCGTGGTTTACTTAGATTAGGATAAGTTTTCTCATCGATGTGCAACCTTCAATACAGGTGGGGCAGATACAAATAACTGGGTGAAACCGTGCACCGCGCCATTATTTAACATAGGCTTTCTAGTAGTTGCCACTTGCAGGAACAAAAATTTTGGTTGTTGATCTTATGACATGCGTTGTTCTCTTTGCATAAGCTAGCTGTTATGGCATTGTAACGTCATAGGCAGAATCTGGTGTAGCCTAAGCTCTTGAAAAATGATATATTTAACCTCAGGTCAAAGGCCACCTCACGCAAACCGGATGTCAAAGAAACTGAGGCGGAAGAATCAAACACCCGGGAAATCGTGGTCAATGCAATATATGGAGAAAATTTCGAAAGAATGGGAGACGATTCGCAGCAGACCAGCTCGAGTGCTGTGTATAGCGTGGTCCAGAAATAAAGAGTCATTTGCAATTGCACGGTGTACACTAACGGCTTGACGTCTGATGCATCGCGATAAGCGATTGAGACACCTTCGCCATCGCACCTCTGATTACCTTGCGCGGGTTTAAATTGAGCGCTCCAGAAGTGTATGTACCAATATGGAGGTAACTAATTTTGTTTGCCGTACCTTTAATATAACTAAAATAAGCAAAATCGGAATAAAATTATGCCCTAACTCTAACCTGGTACACAAACTAAGGGAGTACCAAAAATGCATCATCTTGTAATATTTTATGTTCTATTTCAAGCGAAAGCCAAGCCAAACTCAACGATAGAAGTGTCATTGTAGTAGCAAGGTCGACAAAAAACCGTAGCCAAAAATATAACTTCATCATTAGCGGAGGTTCTTACCACACTACCGCCATCTAGTTATTTTTTTGTTATAGCTATTTCTGTACGTCTACAGATACTGGTACCGGTATATATAAATTCTATAGGTAAACCATATTTGTGAAATAATTTTCGTCATTATTTATGACTTTTTTGATCAAATTGTCTGTAGTATGACTTATTTCCTTTTATATATCGATATAGCTATTTCCCAGAAAGCTAATATAACGGCTCAATCATATAGCAAGGCAAAGCCTTTCATCCGGTTACTAGTCAAAGTCCAGTTATTTCAGTTGTATTTGATATGAAACCGCCGGTTTTTATGTTTGGGCTCCGTTTCTCTTTTAATGTCTATTAAACGTGTTTGCTTGCTATCTGTGAAATTTTGTTGATTTTACTGATTTTTTTTTATTTTGTTTCAACTTGAATATATAATTAATTGAACGGCAATCACCGGTTTAATTAAATCAAGGTGAGTCGAATCGAAGAGTAAATTATTCCAATCGGTTCAGAGCAAAATTTTAAATCGCCGCCATCTTGTTTTTTATCTTCTCGCCAATGGTCGAGGTGAATTCCCCTTTTTTTTCATGCAAGTCATATTTTTTTAACGCAATTCTCACATATAACTATTTTCTGTAGTGAGTTATTGATAAAACGTGTTTGTTATTGTGTGTGAGTTGTCAGTAAACTATCTGAGTGATGTCTTCTATGTTTTCAGTAATTCATTTGTTGAGAGGACCAATTACAATAAAAAAGTCGCTTACAATTATATATTTCCAAGTATTCGAGATTCGATTCAAAAAAAATATTCGATTCGGTTCTGAAATCAGAAGGTATTCGAAAATGCCCAGGCCTAACTCATACCCGACATGGATTGGTAACTAAACGAGAAGTCGTGGTTTGCCACATCGTTACGCCGTTTTATTGGTTTTCACTTTGATAATATGAAATTCCTTCATTGCTTACAAAAAGCCCAACAAACGAAAGACAATAAATGTCACAAAATTTAACAAATTCCAGTTAATTTACTTTGAAATAATTCAGTCATCGCGAATGACTCAGCTCTATGTCATCACAGCAACAGTCATCGACCATGTCTGATTAAGAGTAATTCTATGATCAATTCTCGAAGGCTATGAGGAACGCACAAAAGATAATTTCCGATAGAACGGTTTAGGAAGTACCACGCAATGCACATAATGCTTGCGAATAGAGCAGAAATATAGATAGATGTACATCAGGCTATTTTAGATGGATGGGGATTGTGAGAAATTGCTTATGATAGCAACGCCGCTAGCCTCGTAAACGGGGGCGGGGCAGTATGTTCTCAAGCTTTTTTATATTAGGGGGGGGGTAGGTATTATGTTTTTGGTGATAAAACTATTTTTAACCTATAAAAATGTGTTACGTATTTGACTGATCGTCTTCACCGGCATATGAACCACTTTCTAATTATTTGATTACATTTTTATTTGCGTTAAGAATTGATGTATGCTGTCAAACCTGAAAATTAGGGGGCTGTCTGAAATTTTAGAGGAGTGTTCACCCCCTATAAAGGGATGTAAAGAAATTAATGGGGCAGGGCACGATGAGCTTTCGCAATGATGGTCCTTATAGTAGTGTCATGCTATACTGTTTTGAGTTAGGGCAGATATATGTTGTGGACCAGGGGTCACCAACGCGTTGCCCGCGGGCACCAAGTCGCCCGCGAAGACCATGTGAGTCGCCCGCAGGTCTGTTCCAAACTAAGCTTAATAACGGCTCTTATACGTAAGCTACATCAATTAAATTTTGTCCTGCTATTTTAGTATAAATCACACTTATATGGGAACTAGAAATGACACTATAATAATTATTGTAACCATCAACCTTATTTTTATTTGACCTCAGTAATGTGACGGGTCAATTAACACTCTTCCAATTATGACATCACACTGAGATCACTTTCCACGAACCCGCGTTTTTTCTTGTCTGTTGGTTAGCGGAGCAGTATACAATTATTGATTCCAAAGAAAAATCCACCATTTCCACGATGAATGGGAGATGGATATATTTTTACCACCATGAAAACAGCCTGCATGTGTCTTATTAGTAGGGCGATTTTAGCGACGGCAAAGCGGTGAGATATTTCACATCTTGTCACGTAATCTTCCGCGCTAACTACCCACTGGTCAGCACAGTACGGACAGAAAAAGCTCGCGAGTCAAATCATACAGCAATCCTATTTTACGAGACCATCGTTTGTTTCAACCTATCCTTTCGAATCAACATTTTTGACATAAACTCAGGATAGGAGGAGATTTACATATTTATCCCGGGGGAGAAGATAGTCGATAGGACGGCTTAACCACATGATAAAGCACGGCTTCTCGCCGGTTACCATTCGATGTCGGGTATGGGATTAGTTAGTTATTTGTTTCCGGAAGCATGAACTTGATGGCGAAGGAAGCCTCAACCGACCAGCGGTTACTTTACGTGAACCACCCTACGGCGGCGAGGAGTCCAGCAATCCTTTCGTACATAACTATCCCCGCATGGGATTCTAACCTGACGCTTAACACGATGGGCCATAGCGCCGCGACTCGCTCCACCAGGAACAAACATGGAACAGGCCTCACTGATGAAAATCTGCAAGACTCGCTCAGAGTTACAGTGTCAAGTTACACGTCGGAGTATAATACTCTGCAACATTTGATAGTACAACTGTTAAGTCCATTTTATCCTAGACTTGTGCAGATTGTTGAAAATCAATTTAAAAACACTCAGTTTTGAAATACAAGTGTTATTGATAGAAATTTATTTGCAACGTTGTGATATGCGTTTGATTTCCTGAAGAATCCTAAAGTTTATTAGTGTTTATACTTCACTAAATACCAGTAATTATATCAATAATTGAAGCTTAATCGAGCAACTGAGTTTTTTAGAAGTGTACATTGAACTGGTAGCCCGCAGCTTAATCTGTACCCAAGAAGTAGCTCTCGGCTTCGAAAAGGTTGGTGACCCCTGTTGTGGACAAATGGTTACAGTCACAGTTAATTAACTTGAAATTAGTGAATAGTAGTACCATAGAAAGCAACGGATGCCTGATTTTTTTCAGAGGTATGTCACAAAATTTGTCAACGTGTCATATTACAATTTTGTCAAGGATTTTGTCTATTCAGATATGGTAACGCTATTTTAGACCCAAAGGCATCGCTTATCAGAGCTGTCGAGTTTCAATATTATTAGAATAGTTTCACAATGTATAAATGAATCATCGATTTAGGAATTCATCGAGCCGGATATACTTCTATAACGAAGACGATTCATTTTTCATAGAATAGTTGTTGTTGCTCTTGGGTGGGGGTGAGAGTGATTGTTGTTGTGTATATATCGTGAGACAAATGGTTACATTCACAGTTAATTAACTTTAAATTAGTGAAGTCATCGCAAATGATACATAGTGAAGGTCTTTGCTTGTGGAAAACCGCTCTGTAGTCTCGTAGAAAGCATCGAAGGCCCAGCTTATGAAACTTCGCTTTAGATTAGCGTTGCCGGACATGTCCGCGATTTTAGTGGTCAAATTCGCGGCAGGGAGAAATGTTAGTGCTTTAAATGTCAGGGATTTTTGAACACTCCTGCTACAAATCCTTGAGTTTTCAGATATTTTGCGTCCGCGAAATTGATTTCAGAGATATAGATGTCATAAAAATTTGTCAACGTGCCATATTAAAATTTTGTCAGGGATTTTGTCTTTTTAGATATGGTAACGCTATTTTAGACCCAAAGTCAGCGCTTATCCAAGCTATCGAGTTTCAATATTACTAGAATGCTGTAATAATGTGTAATAACCTCTTGTTTGCCAAGACTGTTAAGATGCGGTCCAACAGGGTAATTGCATTGAAGCCTAAATGAATCACCGAGTTAGGAGTTCATCGAGCCCGTTTAACGTGAAGACGAAACCTTATTATGACGCCAATATTGTATACGGAAATCATTGTGCTGTCACACTGTAATCAAAATAGCAAGCGCTTATACCACAGGGTAGTCGACATCAACGATAGGTAGCAGAGTATGAATGTTTTCCCGAGCATAGATTTTCGTAATAATGATCAACCAGCAATAAGTCAACAATGTTGTAACAATTGCAATTTGTACAGACGCTCAGACACTTCTTTCGCTCAGACAGATAGGTATTCAAGCATGGTTGTAAACATTGCCTCGTTTTTGTGGTTTTCCGTGTTATTTGTCAATTTTCAGAGGCGTTTTCAAAAAATAATTGCAAATCTAATAACTCTATTGTCATATACTGTCTTCAGAGAAGCTTTGCAACACGAGGTTGTCTTCATGAACGATAATGTAGTTCGTACAGTAGCTGGCGACGGCTTTCTATAATTCAGTATAGAAAATTAATTGGGATATGACAGGGTGGGTAAATTGTCGTCCGGATCCGGCCCACCGGAGTATATCATCCGGCGCCTTTGCGTCTGCCGATATTACGACTATACTTTTTATGAATATAAATTTCAGTTGAAAATATCCATGTAAATAACGTCATAATGACCCCGATTGTTACATTGTGCTTCTTATTATTATATAAACGTTAGCCTTGCTGTTGGAATAACTTTTGTAAATAAACCGTTTTTATTCATAGTTTTTCATATTGAGTTTTTCGACTCCGGCCAAGCAACCAAGTATATTATCCAAAACCAGCAAATAAGTCACAAGGAAGATTTCTCTGTATAAAAATTTTTATCCGTCCTTCACTTATGAAAAGTGCACGACATTGTTAATTTTTACATCTAGGACTTCGTATTACAGTACAGATCCGCGTTAGCGCTAATAGCTCCTTAGCACAGTTTCCATATTACTGAAATGAAACGAATCATTTGCCCGATGTTGATATTTGTTGGTAAGTTTTGTTGAATTTTCGTTGACTTTGTTGCATGCAATATGATCATTAACAAATTGTAAGAATTGACTTTACTTCATCGCCAAAATACGAGTACTCCCTGTTTACGTCATTCAACATTTCCGCGAAGTCTACTCAAGAAAAGATCAACGTAGGTCATATTGTATTGCCAAAACTTTGTTGCAAAGTTGAATGTCGACTTGACATTTCGCGCATTTCGTAAGGCTCCAGGACACGTTTGCCATAGCTCAGATGATTACTAGTCTATGAATCATACGAAGCCTGACATGAAAAAACTACGGCCCGCGGGCCAAATCCGGCCTGTTGGGTAAATTAATCTGGCCCACCTGATGTTGCCACAACCAAACTACAGCCAAATTTTAATCTTTTAGCTGAAAAATTGTTCAAGGAATTCGTTGAGATTGCGATTAAATTCAGTTTTGACACGTGGCTTATACCGCTTATTGTTTTCCGCATTTGTTTTTGTAACACTGTTAATTTTGTTCATGAGATGTAACTTATTAGGTCACACTTACATGACCCGCCAATCTGGGTGGGCAAATTTTTGGATACTCCCGAAGTAAGTGAACCAAGATGGCGGACACCAGGAACGTATTATGTGTACTGTACCAGGTTAAGCCATAATTTTATTCCAATTTTCCTTATTATATTTCTATTACGAGTTCGGGGACTAGCCGTAGTTCGATTTGTACCTTAATTTTTTGGCCTAACCCTGACCTGGTACAGTATCTCCGCCATCTCGGTTCACATACGGGAGTACCAATTTTGGGGCCCTTATGCGAAAACCTTGCTCACCCCTGATACAAAGCTGTGGTCAGTGGTAATGGACTTTCTTCCATGGATGAAGAAGGACTATAAGTTCTGATATTGTTTTTGTTTCAGCATTACTTGCAACTTGGGTGAAAGGAGCCAGGGTTGATGTTGAGTTGCGTAATCGATCGGGAGGAGTCACATATGAAAGAGTCGACACTTCTGATTACAATACTTGGAAATTTCCTGCTGATTATAATATTAACCACACGCTATTTATATTTATCAAAAATGTGTCGATGTATGGATGGATATCAAAGAGAAACTCCATGGGCTGCAGAGGCAGGTTGTATTTGCCAGGTACGCTGTATATTTTCTTTACCATGATTACATTCCTTCCAGTGATTCACAACCTTTTTGGTGGAGCTCAATGAAACATCCAAAGTCTCGAAAATATCCCCGAACAATTTTATAATTACTTATTATTTTATTGGTCTGAATTATATAAACTTGAATATATATATATATATACCAGCAAACCTATTACTACTTACCAAACAAAATGATACTTAAAATTATAAAAAGTTTTATAACAGTTTCAAACACTTTAGATTATTACATTTAACAATATGCGTATGGTAATATAGTCAAGAGGTGGGCAAACAAATCCGGCCCGTTGGGTAATTATTCTGGCGCCCCTGATGCTGCTACAACCAAACTAAAACCAAATTTTAATGTTTTTAGCTAAAAAATAGCTCAAGGAATTTGTTGAGATTGCGATTAAATTTAGTTTGGCACGAGGCTATTGTTTTCCACTTTTGCTTCTGTACATTGTAAATATTGTTCATAAATCTAACTTTCACGTCACACTCACATTGGCCGCCAGTCCAGATGGGCAAAATTTTTGGCCCCCGTCCAAAAACCTGCCACCCCTGATATTAGACTCTTGGATTCAAATGAAATTACTGTACTGGTGGTACCTTGGTTGAACCACTGGACATCCCGAGTCTACTTCATCGCAAGTAACTGCATCGCATTTTGTTTTTGTCCCAAACTAACTGCAGCTGGAATTGAAACAAACTTTTCAGGAATAGCAGGGACATGTCGAAACACCGAAATAAAATGTCTGTTCTATCAACCTGTCGGATGCATTTTGAAAAACACCAGCCAGGCATATTCACAGGACCGCATATAGACGGCGTTGCTGCGACCAGTATACATGGGTTTTCACCTGTCAAAAATGCCACGGTCTTTTAGTATATCTGAATGGTATCACGGTGAAAAATTCGTTCAAGTACAGTACAAATATCTCGAATGCCGAAGAAATGAAACGGAATACTCAACAACGGTAACCGGTAAGTGAACCAGCTTTTTGAGACCTGAATGGTAATATAAAAATTATTATTTATTTCAAACATCGGGCACAGGTTTACTCCATCATCCAAGTCTACCAGTGGTTAAACGACAACACTATTCATTACGGGGTCGTAAATGAGTGTAAATCAAGGAATGGGCAAGGTTTTTTGGACCATAGGGCCAGTAAAGGTTGCCCATTTAGACTAGCGGGCCTTGTAAGTGTGACGTAAATGTTACATTTCATAAACAATATTTACAGTGTTATAAAAGCAAAAGTGGAAACAATAAGCTCGTTCCAAAACTAAAGTTAATCGCAATTTCATAATTTAATCAGGCCAGGTGTAAATGCTGCTGGATTCTGATTTTAAAAAGGAAGCACATTTCGCCTCAGGCTGTTTCCTTGACGGCGTTTGAGATAATCTAATATAAGAGTTGATGAGCAACAAAAAAAATGGAATTCGCCCAGGTCATATGGGAAACATATTTTAGAAAGAACAAAACTTTTGAACGAAGCGCCATAGGTTGCTGAAACTTTTACACTCTTAGGTACCAAACAGAAATTCAAATGTCATATAAATTTTCTCCATTTTCATAGAAGTCATTAAGAAATGTATAGGTTCTGTTTTGGGTCGCCTTATATGTGCAGCTCAAATCTATTCAGTGCTTGAAACTCACCCATTATTATTGTTTCCACTTTACATTAAGGTTTAGATCAGTAGTTTCTAAATTGGAGAGCGTGCCCCCCTTAGGGGACGCGAGAGGTCACACGATGGAATCGGAAATTCACGTAATGGCTCCTGAAACGGTCTCCGCGTGCGTTAAAAATACCGATTTTTTCGCGGTATAATAAATTTGCTGTCTCGGTAGTATTCAATCTATGACAACTACAAGGATTTCTCTCTATTTCACTTCATTTGTGTTCAAGGAAACTCGCGGTTGCGGCGACTTACTACAAAAAAATCATTACCGATCTAAAATACCGTACCCCGCCAATCCGCGGACATAATAATGTGTGGTCAACTGCCCGATTATATTTAGTTTTAATATTATTCCCGCTCATCGTTTTATCGTCGCTAGAAAGATCTGGTGTAAAGTTCCAGAAAGTATATATAATTTAGAACAATGAAAATACATATAAAGTATATTAGTATGTGAAAAATACATGTGCATCGACTCGCAATCCCCGTGTTACGGCTCCTGAGTCAGTCGTCGAGATTGCGCCACTCGTTAAAAGAGCCGACTTTTTTGGCTGATGTGTAATGGTCTTTCGGTTGAATAAAATAATCAACCCATGAGCGATATACATATTTAAAATGGTTGCTATATTTATTTAATTGGGATAAATTAAATCTGCTATTGCGTTGATAAAATAAAAGCACCATTAGTCCAAAATACCACGGCAATCCGCGGACATAAAAATATGTAACAGAGTAACCGATTACATTTTGTTTTGATTCGTATTCTTGAAAATTACACCAATATGAGCTGCCCCTGCAACTCTTACTTCACTTCATCGCAATGTTGCCACTCGATTAAATTTTAAGTTATCACTGTTAGAGATATTCCAGTCTGGATAAATCCCACGAAGTAAATTTTTTTTCAAGTCGGTTGTTTTAGAACACTACAGATGTGCACAAGGAATTTATGAGATTTGCAATATCTAAGAAAAAGTTTTTAATCTGTTCGCGGTCCACCCAAAACAAAATCATAAGTGTTGTCCGTTTTATTTTAGTATTTTATAATGCCGCTTTTTCAATCAAGAAATTTTTGGTTGCGGATTCACTTCTTTACTCTACCTTAGCATCTCATCACTTGAAGATTATATAATAGAAACTAACTTGTTTTCCTCACAGAGTTGTCATGGTTCCATGCGAGAAAAAATCATTGTCTTTGCGGCACAAAAATATGTCGAGGGAAATTTGTGATTTAGGGAGAATAAACACCGAAATAAAAAAATTTACGGCTTAAATAACACTTCACGAGAAAAACAATCGAGATTTGAACAAAATGCAATCGCAAACGTCATTAGCGACTTTATTTGTCAGCAGTCAAGGGCCAGGGAACGTCACCTGCATAATAAACTATTTAAAATGAACTGCTGTACTTTATGCTGAAAATGTACATAAATTCATTTGAACTTCTCCATTTTGTAAACTGTATTTTTGAACCTGGTGGTTGCCCAAAGGTATTGGTAGTGAATTTTGGAGACGTTAGGCAACTAAGAAGTCTGTAATTGTTATGTATTTTCAACACACAGTAAATAATTTTTGCATTGCTCAATAGTGATGAAGTAACAATTTATTGAGATTTTACGTGTCTTATGTAAACATCTGGGCAGAAAAAAATTAAAGCGCAAAAAGCACATCTTTTTTGGGGTGTTTAGTTTACTCAAACTTAGTTTGACTTCACCAGCTATTGCAAACTGAGCTAAGAAAGGAGAATGTATGATGACCACTATTTGAGTAGGGCTTTATACATACGACAGTGAATGGCGAAGTTGAACTCCGATGTGTTTTATGCCTAAACAATCTGAGCAATGACGCTACGAGATCAACACTCTTACAGCGCCATCTTAATATAAAGCAACCCTGCCCATCACAAAAGCATTTTTTCAAAGACAAAAGAGGGGGGCGCGAAGTTTGTAAAATTTTTCGAAGGGAGGCGCGGCTCAAAAAGTTTAAGAACCACTGGTCAGATGGTAGATTATTCCATTTCACCAAACTTGTATTCTGAATTACAGACTTATCTACCGATCAGACTTCTTCTGTGACGGCAAATGACCGTAACAAGCAACAATCACCACAGATGCTCAATGGCAAAACCGAAACTGGTGGTTGGCCTGGCAATCGCCATAGGATTGCTTGGTCATATCGTGGTGGTGCTCGGAATCGTCATTTTCACGAAACCGGTTAGTAAAATTACCATGCTTTTGGTCATCATGCTGTTATTGCCCCACCAATGATCCAAGAAAAAATTGAGATGAGGCAACAGCAGTATGGTAACCCGTGCTTTAAATATAGGTTTTATGTCTACACTTGGAAACTAGGCGCTGTACGAGCATGGGGGTTAAAGGTCGAACCCTCCCTCCTTTCGAAATGTAAAAAAAAATTATTGTATCATACATAGCGATTTTTCGTAGCCTGAAACGCTCTTAAGACGTTAAAGACTCTAGCCGGATCCGCTTGATATTACGGTCTAACTTGGCCATTAGAAATTTCCTCTCTACGAAAAATCTTAAATGAGATATTTAGAGCACCCTCATTTCCTTTCTGTAATATGAGGCGTTGTGAAGAAATAATGTAATTCTATCCTCAGACTATTTGACGTAGTGATTGGATCTTCGTGTCCTTTTATTTGAGCATTGATTCTGTTATTAGGTAAATTTTACCGACTAATATAAGGTAGGTGGGTTATACCAGTCTTTGAGTGAAGATTAAAAGGGTGCACTATTCAATAAAAGGTTGACAAGCACTGATCCACGGCAATTAACTGCCTTAACTTATTCTCTGTTTTTGAAGAGTTAACAGAAACACTCACACTCTCATGGGATAAATCTTAAAATGCGTGATGAACATTGCAGATTCTGGTGTAGCCTAATCTCTCGATATAATATTATTCAATCTCAGGTCAAAGGCCACCTCACGCAACCCGGATGTCAAAGTAACTGAGGCGGAAGAATCAAACACCCGGGAAATCGTGTGTCAATGCCATATATGGAGAAAATTTCGACAGAAATGGGAAGACGATTCGCAGCAGACTAGCTCGAGTGTTGTGTATAGCATGGTTCATAAATAACTAGCTAACAACTTCCTTACCAGGCATATGATCCAGCCGTTGGCTTTTCCCTTGTCATGAATAATTTTGTAATAATGAACGCCAAAACGTTGCTACTCTATGTTTATTCGAGTAACACGCATACCCATACTGCCCCCGTTTTTATATATCTCGCCTACTAAGAATAATCCCCAACCAGTCTTGGACGATGTACTGGATGAACTGATAAAGCAAAGCGGCTTGATATGTAGATATATCACAATTTAGGTGTAACTATGCAATACTATTTTTATCGGGTAATATTTACGTTTCAGAAAATGATAAAAATAAAATTTTTCAGTTGTATCGTACATACAGGGTCGTAGCCGGAAAGTGGATTTTCCAAGATGTTGAGTCTCTTTTTTACATTTCAAGGGGATGGTTTTGACCCTCAAAGGCTTGTTGCCACATTCCGACGCCACCGCCTTTTCAAATTTTTATTAATGCCGTTATTGCTACTTTGGAGTGCTATAAAATCAGCCAAGTCAGTACTGTATTTCGATGAGTAAATGAATATCTCACAGATCCCATTAGTTTCTCGCACGGAGTCCTGGGACTTCGTATACACAATTTTTACTTCGGGAACACAATTTTTTACAGTCAAGGATCACATAGATTAAAGTTTTTAAGGTAAAGATGTCTTTTCATTAGCAGTCACGGTCAAACAGAAGTTTTTAAAAAAGGCTCGAAGTTTGGAATTGGGGTGTTTATTTTCCCGACTTCACAGCATAGTCGTAGCCAGAACAGATTCCTGATTCAGACATAGCTTCTTACATTAAGTTGGGGTCAGTGGCTGCTGTATGCGTAACCTTGTTCGATGCCAAATTCGTATAAATACGTCGTGTAAAAATAACGATGTCGGGATTGGCGGATCACCTTCTAATCAGTTTGAGTATAATAATATTATGGTTATCGTCAGTGGTGTATCTACCTAAAATGGCGTTCATGGCAAAGTTTGAAAATGCAAATTTTAGTTATTACCAACATTTTGCGATTTAAACTTTTGCCGAAGGCGCTCCATAAGTG